ATAAAAACTGAGCCAAGGACATCTGGGAGGTATTGAGAAATTAGTATCTAACCTAATTAGACCCAGGCTCTGACTCAGGGTTGAGGGTCAGATTTAATGTATATAATTTGTGAAATGCTTTGTGGAGTGTCAGACACAAAATTATGTTTACTAGTCCTTGTTGTTTTTACCAGTTCTCAACAGATATAGAAAGTGAGAATATTTAGGGAATTTTGAAGAAATGTAACATTCCTGTGATATTTTTGTTTAAGACATTTTGCAAATATAAAACTGATTCTTCTCAATAGATAGTTTAGGAAGTATACTGATGTAGTATATGTATGGAAATATTTCCATGTAGGTGGAATTAAATTACAATAGTAAGTTTATTGTATTAGTGGGTTATTTAGCACTATCAGAGCATTGTGTATGCAATATTAAATTATTTATTGTGGTGTTTAATAATTTTGTATTAAAATAACACTAAATTATATTGGTTAGGGTCTTATAATTTGTGGTCATATATAATTTGGGCTTTTGAATTCCCATTTATGTTGTTTAGATATCTGAGCTTCTGTTTAGTTTCTGCATTGAAACAAATATGTGTGTTATATCTAGGAATGGATACAGCAAAACAATATCTTATCCATAGTCTTGAGAGATAGTCTTCATCAACCACAGTATGTGGAAAAGCTAGAGAAAATTCTTCGTTTTGTGATTAAAGGAAAAGCTCTTACGTTACAAGACCTTGATAATATCTGGGCAGCACAGGTAAGGAATTCAAGGTGATAGCGATTTTCTTTTTTATAAGAAAGATACTAAAAATTAAAGAACTTGTGGTAGTCTTTATGTAATGACGTGTGTTTTTATTGCTTGACTTTTAGTAATGCACTTGCTGTGTATCTACAGAAATCCTGCCAAGAATATTTTTAAAATAAAAAAAATTTTCATGTTTGTATATGCTAAAGACTGGCAGTTCATGGGTTTTAAATAAAATATAGTAGAATAATTAGGAATGATTATTGAAGGAATGTAAAGAATCTGTATTTGTAGGTTTTTTTCAATGAAATGTATGAAGAAACAAATGTTGCAAGAGTTCCATTGCTGTATTATTTGTAAAAACCTATGATTATTAGAGGAATTGGTAATTTTTTGTATAAATAAGTAATCTTAGTTTCAGAAATATTAATTCATAATTTCTTTAATTATCTTAATGGCAAGTTTCTACTAGATCACTTGGGGAGTATTATTAATTAGTAGATTTCAAAGCTTGCTTTTTTAAGATAAACCAATAAAATAGTCTTTTCTTCATTGAATACTTGTTTTCCCTTTTTAAACAATTCACTACTTTGCATTATTTTCTCCTAATTATTGGTTAATATTCTGTAACTTTTATATGAATTCCCAGAGTTCATTAATCATATATACCAAAAAACTGAGTTGCCAAGTTTTAACTGGCATTTAAAATATTAGGAAAGTTAACACTTCAGACGAATAAGGTAGGAATGTTTATTAAGTTATGGAAGTTGACATGGCAGAACTACTTAGTTTCTAAGTGTTATTTAGATTTAACTGTGATATGATTTTTTTATTACTTTTGTTTATACAATTTTTATTTTTTCAATAGGCAGGGAAACATGAAGCCATTGTGAAGAATGTACATGATCTACTGGCAAAGTTGGCTTGGGATTTTTCTCCTGAACAACTTGATGATCTGTTTGATTGCTTTAAGGTAATAGTTCAAATAGTAAAAGTATTGCCATTTTATTAGTAGTAGAATTAGTTAAGTCTCTTTTGCTTTTAACTCATTTATTTGCAAACAAATTTCTTTG